AAAAAAAAAAAAAAAAAAAAAAAGTTTGGGGTGAGTGAAAACTCCTGGCATCAAATAAAAGTAGGAATTTGTTTCATTGACTTTTCTCTGTAGCTCAAACTATGGCAATGGAAAATTATGCTCTGGATAGAATTGTGAATATACAGAGATCTTTAAATTGTGTCATTGATAGTATTTCTACATCACATAAAGGTTACGTTACAACTTATATTGCACTGAAGAAGTAGCTAAAGGGGCTATTTGCCAGGGAGCTTCTAGTAAATAATTTTTACAAATTTATAAAATAGGACTTGTCTACACTTAACTGGAAAATTCTACAGCATAAATGGCATTTCTACTTTTATTAAGCTTGGTAATTCTGTGTGAGCTCTTTATTAATTGAGATATATTCCATATCTGTTCTCACTTACATTTTTAGAAAAATCACTCTGTAGTTTAGTTTTTTTTCTTTTTTCTTTAAGAGGCAGGATTTCATTCTATTGCTCAGAGCGGACAGCAGGTAGCATGATCATAGCTCACTACGTATAACCTCAAATTCCTGGGCTCAAGTGATCCTTCTGCCTCAGCCTTCCAAAGTGCTGGGATTTTGGACATGAGGCCACTGTGCTCAGCCTCATTAGTCATTTATCTACCAAATACATAGAAAACTCAAAGACTCAGAGGGTCTTATCACCAAATGTACATTTGCTTTGCAAAAGGTCAGATCCTGCGTTTTCAAAATATTCCTTATGCTCTGTTATGCTTTATATTTCATAGCACAGCAACACCCCCTTCACAACGACTGGTGATCATGTTACCAATTTCTGTCCATGTATCTGAATGAGGGTTATAAACTTCGACTGAGTCCAAGGTACCTGGGGCCAAAAAATCATGGCTGGAAGATCGACCTCCAGAGACATACAGAAGACCATTGACTGCCACAACACACATGCCTGCTCTAGGCACTTTCATTGAGGCAACTTCAACCCACTTTTCCTGGTTAAGAGAAAAAAAAAAAAAATGTTAGCATTGTTATGAAATGATGGAAAGGAAACCACTGAGAAATTTGATATTCCAGTTCTTTTTACATGTCTAAATGTAAAACAATCTAGTCAGGTAAGCATACAGATTTTTTGTTTTTGCTTTTTTCCTCGGAGACAGGGTCTCACTCTGTCACCCAGGCTGGACTGCATGGCATGATCTCGGCTCACTGCAGGCTCAACCTCCCAGACTCTAGAGATCCTCCTGCCTCAGCCTCCCGAGTAGGTAGGACTACAGGTGTACACCACCATGTCTAGCTAACTTTTCTATTGTAGAGATGGAGTTTCACCATGTTGTCCAGGCTGGTCTTAAACTCCTAAGCTCAAGTGATTGTCCCACCTCAGCCTCCCAAAGTGCTGGGATTACAGGTGTAATCTGGGCACCCAGTCCAGAATTTTTTTTTTTTTTTTTTTTTTTTTTTTTTTTTGACGGAGTTTCGCTCTTGTTACCCAGGCTGGAGTGCAATGGCGCGATCTCGGCTCACCGCAACCTCCACCTCCTGGGTTCAGGCAATTCTCCTGCCTCAGCCTCCTGAGTAGCTGGGACTACAGGCACACACCACCATGCCCAGCTGATTTTTTGTATTTTTAGTAGAGACGGGGTTTCACCATGTTGACCAGGATGGTCTCGATCTCTTGACCTCGTGATCCACCCACCTCGGCCTCCCAAAGTGCTGGGATTACAGGCTTGAGCCACCGCGCCTGGCCCCAGAATATTTTATAATAAACTTGAAGTAGCCATGGACAAAGTAAATTTAGAGGAATATATTTTTTTCAAAGGTCTGATTATAAAATATGATCAGGAGATGACCTAGAAATCATATACAGGACAACATTCTAAGAAACAAAGTCTCATTCAAAAATAAGCAAGTCAAAAGAACCACAAAGTTCCAAGGAGAAAGCAGCTTATAAACCAAATGATTTTTTTTTAAAACGGAGTCTTGCTCTGTCACCCAGGCTGGAGTACAGTGGCACGATCTCGGCTCACTGCAACCTCTGCCTCCCTGGTTCAAGCAATTCTCCTGTCTCAACCTCCTGAGTAGCTGGGACTACAGGTGCCTGCCACCATGCCCAGCTAATTTTGGTATTTTTAGTACAGACAGGGTTTCACCATATTGCTCAGGCTGGTCTCGAACTCCTGACCTCAGGTGATATGCCCACCTCAGCCTTCCAAAATGCTGGGATTATAGCTGTGAGCCACCGCGCCCTGCCAAACCAAAGGATTTTTTAAAGCCATTAGTATTCTAACAAGTCTTAAAAATGTTCAAGAGAATGACACAGCATGGAACATTTGGCTGATTTATTTGACCATGGAATCCTTTTTACAAGGACCATCCAGTGGAGTTAGTAATCTGCAGAACATATTTTCAAAAAGGTGGGCTAACCAGGGGTTGGGAACAATATGGTATAGCCTGAGAACAATGATTTTCCCATATTAAAAGTCATTTCAAAAAAAAAAGAAGCATATGTCAAAAAAGGAAATTGTATGTTGCACACAGGCCAAAAATATTTACTACCTGGCCTTTTACACAAAAAAGTTTGCTAACTCCTATTATACATTGTTCTCTGAAAAAATTTCAATATGCTGCTATAGCCAAAATGACTAGCAGTGTCTTACGTGAGGGAAACATCCATACTCAGAAAACAAGAAAGCTACTAAAGGTCCTAAGAAGTAATTAGGAGAACAAAGAGCAAGTAACCAGGTAATGGGAGAACAGATTATCAATCTTTAAATAAAGCATATGATGAACAAAGTTTTTTTAATCATTACAAGTGAAGACTGATTATTCATCAATGTTAAAAAGTGAATTTTTGAGAATAGGGACTTGAGCTTCTCATCCTGGTACCCACATAGGTACTCGGATAGTGCCATCACATTATAAACAGTTAATGTACATTTGCTGATGTGAACTTAAATAAGATTATTTAGTATTAATAAGATATTAATACTAAACCAGGGACAATTCTTTGAAAATGAAGGACCAGATTAAATTTGAAAGCTATTTGATCATCTGAAAGTACAGAGCACATCACAAAGCTGACATAACTGAAAAAAATACTCATACTTTAAAAGATAAATACAGTCTCAAAAATATCCATTTCTGGTTAAGATAAATTAGGGTAACTTGGGTTATGTTTATAATTAGAGGGAACTAACCTTTGCTCTCCCACAAAAATACCCCTTGATAATAATAAAGGGAGCTTAGGGCTCATCCTATATTGTTCCTATTTCACTTCTACCAGTGTATTAGAACTATAGGTTTGCTTTTTAAATTTTTATTATTTTATTTTTGATTTAATTGACACGTTCTTATCTGATATAGTTTACTTTTTATCCCATGTTACCTCAAAAAAAAAAAAACCTCTGTAAGACCACTAACATGTTTTACATTATGTTTACGGCCTGGATTGTAATGCAAATTGTTAGTAGGTAGTCAATAACAATAAAATTTCATATTTATGCATAAAAACCAAGGTAATACATTATTAATAAGACTTAATTTGAAACAAAAATCTATTCATTTCAAAGCCATTCATTTCTAATACAGAAAGTACCCTAAAAAAGTTCACTTTCTGTATCAGATAAACCCAAAGAGAATCATGGAGAAAGGCATTTGAAATGCCACCAAAGTTTAAAACTTGTCAGAAATGAGAATCAAAATCCTCATGCTTTACAACAAGACATAGAAGTCCATTCTTGCCACTTCAACATTATACTGGAGGTCCTAGCTAGGGTAAGGAGGGGAAAACAATGAAATAAAAGGCATCTTAGTTTTAATTCAGATTTAAGAAGTAAACAATCTTTTTTTTTCTTTTTCTTTTTTTTAAATCACTCATTCGTTTATTCATTCATTCAATTCTGTTTTTTATTCTATTCTGTTCTGCTCTGTTGTATTCTATTCTGTTTTGTTTTGTTTTTTAAGATGGGGTTTCTCCATGATGGCCAGGCTGGTCTCAAACTCCTGACGTCAGGTGATCCACCCACCTCGGCCTCCCAAAGTGCTAGGATTACAGGCGTGAGCCACCGCCCCCAGCACAAGAACAGTGTTTTTAACAAATGATGCTGAGACAACTGGATACCCAAATACAAAAGAATGAGGGTGGATCTCTACCTCCCATCACATATAAAATTAAATCCCCTCAAAATGCATCAAAGACCTAAATACAAAAATTAAAACTATAAAACTCTTAGAAGAAAGCATAGCTGTAAGTCCTTATGACCCTGGATTCAGCAATGCTTTCTTAATTATAATAAAAGCATAAGTAACAAAGGAAAAAAATAAATTAGACATCAAAATTTAAATTTTTATGCTTGAATAGCATCAAGAAAGTGAAGAAAACACACATAATGGGAGAGAAAATTTGCAAATTATATATTCAATAAAGGACTTGTATCTAGATTATGCAAAGAACTCTTATAACTCAATTATAAAGACAAATAATCCAATTTTAAAACATAAATTCAATAGATATTTCTTCAAAGAAGATAAACAGATGACCAAAAAACACATGAAAAGATGCTTAACATTATTAGCCATCAGGGAAATGCAAATCAAAGCCACAACGAGATACCCATTTATACTTACTAGAACAGCTATGAAAGAAAAAGCAAATAATAACAAGCATTGGATGTGGAGAAACTGGAACCCTCAGACACTGATGGTGGTTATATAAAATGGTGCAGATAGCTTAGAAAACAGTCTGGGAGATCCTAAAAAAGGTTAAACACGGTGAGGCACGGTGGCTCACACCTGTAATCCAAGTACTTTGGGAGGCTGAGATGGGCAGATCAGTTCAGGTCAGGAGTTCAAAACCAGCCTGGCCAACATGGTGAAACCCTGTCTCTACTAAAATACAAAAATTAGCTGGGCATGGTGATGTGTGCTTGTAATCCCAACCACTCTGGAGGCTGAGGTACAAGAATTGCTTGAAGCCAGGAGGTGGAGGTTGCAGTGAACCAAGATTGCCCCACTGAACTCCAGCTTGGAAGACAGAATGAGACATTGCCTCAAAAAAACAAAAAAACTCTCGGACATTAGATAACAGGCAATGTAAAACTGTGATCCCTGAGAAACTGAAACAAGGTAAACATAGCTAGGAAGAGGCTTTCTGAAAAGAGGTACAAGGAAGGGGATCTGAAGCAGAGTATGATAGCTGATACAGAAGACAGAGATCAGAGTTTGGTACAGTATAGAGGTCCCCTTCATAATATTTACAATGTCTGTCATCCAATCAAAAGTAAACAGAAATGTGGAGAAGCCAGAAACAAAATGTTACTCAAACCAGGAATTTAAAAAGTGAAAAAGCTAGGCACCGTGGTACATGTCTATAGTGCCAGTTACTCAGGAGGCTGAGGCAGAAAGACCACTTGAGCTCAGGAGTTTGATATCAGACTGAGCAACATAGCAAAACCTTGTCTCTAATATTTTAAAAGTCAACAGATACAGATCCAAACATTACAGAGATGATGAAATTAGCAAAGATTTTAAAACTAATATTATTAATTATTAGGGGATCCAAAGGAAAATATGAACATAAGGAGAGAAAAGAAGAGCTAAGAAAACTGATCTTCTAGAGCTAAAAAATACAATATCTAAAACAAAAAATTCCATAGATGGGATTGAACACTGTGAACTAGAAGTCTGGATACTCTAAAGGATTAATAAACTTGAAGACAGAGCAAAACAAACTACCCACACTGAAGCACAGAGAGAAAAAAGAATGGGAAAAAATTTAATATATGCATATGCACATATGTATAAATAACTGGAGTCCCAGAAAGACAGGAGAATATTTGAAAAAATATGGCAGAAAACATTCCAATTTGATTAAAGCTATAATCCCACAGATTCAAGAAGTACAGTGAATTCCAAGAAGGTTAAACACAAAATCCCAACAAGACACATCATAATCAAATTACTGAAGACCCATGATGAAGAGAAAATCTTAAAAGCT